TTTGCAATTTAAATCTGCTTCTTGAGGATCATTCACTCCAGCTCAAACGCTGTTTTAGTTGCCACAAAAGTAGCCTGAGCTTTAATATAGGGAATAGATGGTACCTCTCAGTAAATGATAAGTGTCAGTACATGAACAGCTTTCAAGCAGAAGCTGCTTCCAGCTACCTAAACAAAGGCATTCAGGTGAGCAGTGCAATGAATACCTCTGTACAGCCACCTAAGAGCAATTAAAACCTGTCTCTGGAGGGCACTGAACAGTTGCTCAGTGCCTAAGCTGTGCCTGGGTACCAAGTGGTGGTGAAACTCCCACAGGCAGGTGAGCAGCAACGCTCTGACACAGGCAGTGCCTGCCAACGGGTGCTGAACATAAGGTGGAGAGGGTGACATATGGCTGGAATTTACTATTTGAGATGGGTGGGGAAAAGAGCACTTGGATGCTGAAGTATCCAGTAATGGGAAAGGAATGTCAAGGGCCATAAGATGCTGCTGCAGTTTAAAAGCAATTGATGGGGGAAACTGAGGCACGTCCTGCCTATCAGACTCATGAACCTCCTCTTCAGATGCCAGCTGAGTATGAGCAGAATATCTATTGAATATACACAGAGCCCTTTGTGGCAGATTTCCTTCTGTAATTCTTTCTCTTCCATTAGAAAGAGTCTTACCTCCAGACTGATTCTGTTCAAAGTGAAATTTCATTGTCGATATACTCAGCTGCCCACATTTCCTACCGAGCCATTACAGCTGTGCACAGCACCATTTAAGAACTATTTAAATAAATTATAAAAGTTGTAAAACCTTTATTTCTCCATAAACTACTTTGGACACTCTGCAGAGATTCAAAAGTCTGGGTAATAAAAACATCCTTTCTGTTCTGAAACACGTTTTAAAGTACTGCATCAACTGTGATCTTGTTCATGTTGGGAACCTAGGACTAAGGCTTCTGGGAAGGGGGAGTTGTAATATAGTAAGGAATAGCATATTTTGACAAAAGGATGCTTGCATTGTGATGGTTTTATGTAAGAGTATTATCTACCGTGCCCATCTAATCATGCCCACCATAAACACAGTGGGATTAATGATTTTATTAGAAAACAGACACACAAACACACTGAGTTGGTATCTCCATTTTTAAATTGAGGGGGCTCTAGATTTCCTTTGTTTAGGGTAGACAATGAAAAACAAATGCATTTATTGCATCAGAGCTGTTTAAGAATCGCTTCAAGGAACCCATACAGCCTGTATGAATTCAAGCGAGCACTTATTGCTAACCTGGCAAGCAGTAAACTCTATCTTGCCAGATCTTCCTGCCTTTGTGTATCTTCTGTGAGGAAGTGAGAAGGGTTTTATTTTAATTAAAAAGAAGATATTTCTAGGACAAGACTGCCTTTTATCCAAAATTCAGATTAGCAATAATGTTCTCCCCCCCTTGGTGGCTCACAGTTGAACTTGATCTTAAGGTCCTTTCCAACCTAAATGATTCTATGAGTCTGTAATACATAGACATAAGATACATCGGTATCTTATCAAGGGATTCTCTTCTAGGTGCTTAAATACCAAGAACTCACTGCAATTTTGAGTAGCAAAGCCAGATTTAACCTCCCTGGACACTACAGTCACCTCCTCTCATTTAGGTTCTTTTCACTTTTTAAATCAATAGTGATTTTTTCTTTAATTCTATGTGAAATGGAATCGGGAACATTTAACACATCACATGCAGTTTGAAACACTTTCTGGTCCCTATATTCCATTAACAAAGGGAGCAAAGATTTAACTCTCAATTTTAAAGCATCCCTTCTGAAAGAAACCTGACAAGTTACTCCTTACACATCTTAACAAAGCAACAGTCAATTTCTGAGGTTGCTCTTAGATTTTTATAGTAATTTCCTCAAGTTTTAAAGCATTTAATCAATGACTTGAAATAGTTTTTTATGAACACCAAGCAATCTCCCAAAAGCAAGCAGCTAAATTAGAGATGATGCTTTGTGCAACTTAAGAGTATAATAGCAGCAGGAGCTGTTAAATTGTACTCAATAGCATCACCATAAAAAGAGTTGGCCATGAAGAGAAGATGAAAAATCTCTACTCAGACCACAGAGGGACATCAGATAGCAGCAAAATAACACCCTGCCAAGCATAAAGGAAACAAAGTTTTCTGGTTGCGTGAATCCTTATTTCATCTGAAACAGGATATTGTTCCCCAGACACCATCATTTCAGTGCTAGTCAAGGACAACGACTTTATTTGCAAGTATTATCTTCCTTTTGGCACAAACACAGACCTTTCAACCTTGTATTGCAGCTAATCCGAATAAAGCAAAACCAAGGTGATTTTAAGCTTTTGCCTCTTTTACGCTCACCTTTATTAAGGCATTTAACTTTGAAGGAATATAAAGAACAGGTTCCCTTTTCTACAGCAACAGAATACTGCAGCAAATAAAACTGTTACATGAGGAAACAATACGTGTATACCACTATTTTTAGCATAACAGACCACAGGACTTCTATACAACTGAGTAGTCAGTTTATTAAATAGATATATAGGAAAGCCTAGAGAATAAGAAAAGGTCTGTGGTTAGCAGAGCCTGAAACCCCTTTAGTTTCCTGAATTGATGTATCTAGTGTATTTATACCTAGTGTGTAGTCCTGTGTATTTATATATTTAGAAGCTAAAAAACAACTTCTGTTACAGATGTTAAAGATACTAAGAGTCTACTGAAGCTGTCAGTGGAGCTCCCCTTTCTGCAGGAGGCTGCTGCAGCCAGAAAACACGAGTTTTGAAAGGCAGTGACACAAATCTCTCTGTACACAATTTAAGGTAGCTCAATTCTCTCTTTCAAAAGAGCATTATTTTAAGGACACACTTTGACCCTGCCATTAAGCCACAACCACAGGTTTAGCTTTCATGGAAACCAGAATGAAATGCCTAAACATGAAGGGTTTTTTCCCCCTTCCCAACCGACTAATAACCCCACCATAGAGACCTGCCATGCCCCGGGGCAGGCAGTGTCAGTGCCGCACTATCGCGCCTCAAGCCACATCTATAAATAAGTCCTTGCCATCGTGTCCCAGATACCTCCGACCTCAGCAGGGAGGACTGGGAACACTCACCTGCAAGAGCTGCCTGCAGGAAACGTCTCCCTTGGCTGTGAAAGGCAGCTAGGCTTCCGAGGGGGAAATGCTTTGTCTGTTGTTCTGCAGTCTAACCTTGACCATCACCCATTGCAGGGCATCTATCTGACTGCCAGACTTGGATTCTCCTTAGTGAATGCAACAACTTTAAGTGATAGCTGTTCTAAAGGTGTATTTGTAAGGATTGCCTCATTTATGCTGAATGTGCAGTGCATGCTAATTTTGAATTTTTATAACAGGCAATAAATATTATAACAATTAATTTATAATTACTACTCTGGGAATTTTCATTTTATTAATGACAGTATTGCTCTTAAAATTAACAGAAAGGTTGCATCAGGCAAAGGCACCGGAGAATGTGAGTATGCAAATTAATTGTGCACCTGCACGAAATAATTTAGAAAAGGACTTTTTTATATTTAAAAATCTGCTAAATATTATGATAACCTTTTTTAACACACTGCATTTCAGAACAAAGCTTCCAGTAACTCAGACAGGGATAAGTTACTGAATTGTAGAAGGGGAGACATTACAGTCAAACATTTCAGTGAATTAAAGTATAACATTCTGAAATCCTCTTTGTGTAATAAGTCCCACTAATGTAGCAAATTTTAATAAACCATATTTATTTTCTGTTTGCTTTTAATCCTCAAAGTGGTTTTGAAATATTGCTTCTGTGTAAACATTGAAAATGATTATTTGGTAACCCAAATACCAAAAGAAGGCATTAGACTGATTTATTTAATCACCAAGGCCCCCCCAAAATGAATCATGAAATGCAGTCAGCAACATTAAGGACTATTAACAACCTGCCACACAACCCATTCTACAGCCATGAATTGATTCTCGATAAAATTCAGTGGTCTCACCCATAAGTGTTTGTTCTCATTTATGAACTTTAGGAAAAAACCCTAAAGAAGTCACCTTTCAAATGAAAAAAATCAAGAACACTTTCAGAAGTCAAACCATCCATAATAGGTGCAGAAGACCTACTCGTGCCACCACTACCAGTGTCAATCAGCAGTAACAACTGTATTTAAATGTAAAAACAAGATAACTTTTTAACATCCCAAATTTTCCAAAACCCCTTTTGGCTTCTGCCCATGTACTGTCCATTGATCTTATGGCTGACATATTAAAACAATTCATGAGGAGCTCATTAAAACCTAGCAAGAAAGGTCTTCTGGTGCCTTTCGTCAAAGGAGATAATAGCCTACAATCTAGGGCATGAATATGTTGCAAGAAACAAAACAGAGCCATTCAGACAAAGAACCCTTGGAATGCATTGTTCCCATAAGCAGATGTTAAATTACTTCACTGTACAGCAGAATCTATAAACCCCAAATGAATGTTATTTTTATGTGAACAAACAAGATTAGTTTATTATTTCAGCAGGGTGACACACAATTCTAGTGCATGTGTCTCACCGTGCAAGCAGATGTGCTCAAAGTAAAAACTGGTTGTTGACCAAGAATGCTACGGGTATGCAGAAGTATTGACACAGCAAGATAGAATGAGTGTATCCTGACTGGAATACGAGCTCAAACATCACTGTAATTGCTTCAAAAACCTATCTCAGGTAAGTCACTTGGATCACGATTAAACTGTCATTGCATTGAAGCTAGAGATCATTGTGTGCAAATGATAAGGACCAGAGTCAACTCTGAAGATGTACCTTGAGATAACGTGGATACAAAGAGTATCAACAAGCTGTTCATGATAGATATTTGTAGTCCAAGTGTTTTTTAAAAGTTCTTAAGTGAATATCATAAAGAGCTTATTGATAGTGCTTACAATTAATTCTCACAGTTAGGTGCAAAGAACATAAAACTATGCGTAAAAGCAACATATTAAATGCTAATGTACTTACATCAGTATCAGGTCCCTTGTCAGCCCCAGGACAGGAAAAGGTAACAAACTCATGGCATCTCTTATGAACCACAAAGCAGCAAACTAGTAAGAAAAGGGAAACCAACAATTAGAAAGGCATGTGTTAATTTTTTTCCTATTGTAACAAATATAACAACAGTGGAAACAAAACTTGCAGTCAAATATTTCACCTGTAAGTCAGTGAAAGAAAGCAGAGCCCAATATTAAATAAGGGCACACAAGAAAGGCAAACATCAAGTAAACAATATAAAGATGGACACCAGAAAAATCCAAAGACTCTACACAACACTGAGTATTTAAGAGAGCCCATAGTGTTAAAATACAATGTGGGATGAGCAGTTCCATAAAGCCATGTTTCCTGAGTCTAAATCCGTATCTGTAACAAGAACTGTCAAAGTGCATGCAGGCAAGAGCAGGAGGCATAAATAAGGAACGAAACCTGTGCTTGGGTATGGGATGCGTTCACCTGTATGCCTTGGTGAAGAGGTCTACGACATCCAATGTCTTTACTACTTAATTACTTGTGTAAGAAAGCAAAGTCTGGAGACTTTTGTAGAGAATAAAGTGTTCTCATATCACAGAATAGCAGGAGATAATGGGGGCAAAGAAAATGATCTCCCCATTACAACATGACTCCCATTTAACAATGAGCAAGGCTATAGGTTGTCACACAACACAGGGCATGCACGTCCCCCCAGACCACATAAGAACAATTTGATTGGTCCCGAGTGTGCTTACTTTGAGAAGCAGGGATTTTTGCTTTTCACCCTCCCTACAGGTTATTTTTAATATTAAGCTTAGTTCAGCTACTCCAGAATTGCTCCACATTTTAATAAAATGGAACAATTTAGATTTGAGACTGTGCAAATACCATGAAACAAACACACACCAGCAAGCAATGAGTCAGGAGACGATAATGAAATGATTCAAAAGTAATTCACTATTTCTTTACATACACTGCATTCCCTAAAGACTTCAAATTTTGCATTTCCAATACATAAAAATACACTATTTCAAAGGATGCTTCTAAAGAATAAAATAGATTTCACTCAAATGGCACTTGCAAACACTGAATTTCCTCAACTTCAGTGGAAACCAAAATAAATTATCTCTGTTTTTCCAAACAACTCATTTCCTGAGGCATCTTTAACAGTTCTTTCCCCCCATTTAATATGTATACAAATTTCTTTCACCTAATCAAGAGAGCCGAGAAAGATGTTATCAAGTGCAGCTTCATGTCAGTGCAGCACACAATGATGACTCCTCCATAATGCCAGACTGGCCTCGTTTACATCCTTAAGTCAGCCGTCTGGCTTTAAAGAAGTCTCATCACCCTCATATCTTTCTCCAGCTATTTTTCATCCTCATCCCAAGCACCAATTGTTTCCAACAGTTCTATTTCTGACACGGCATATGTTAATTCTTTGGGCAAATGGAATAAAATGGGCTTTGCTCTGCTGATTCCAGATATGCTCTGTCGCCTTCATATGAGCCAGAGCTCTGGCTCAATGTATGCTGCCCACTTGGTTGTCTAGTTTGTTCATCATTCTCAACCCCAATGAATCCTACAATTATCATTTCCATGGTTTGTTTCTACCAAGTGGAAGATCACTAAGTGGCAATTACTATTAATACTACTTGCAGCTGAAAAACGTTTCACTTCCAAATTGTATTTTTGGTTCCAAACCTTCCACTCTTGAAGACAAAAGCCCGAATAAATCACATGCAAAAAAAAAATAACATCCTCATTACATCCTTCAGGAAACAGAAAAGTTAGCTCATTACTTTTGTAGGCAGTGATCATACAGTTGCAAATGACAACATATGCAAACGATCTCAGAAACACTTCAGGGAAGTTGTAGGACTGAGCTGCTCTACCAATGCCTGCTTTTCAAATCAGGATCTTAGACTGGCTACTCCAGCTCTGCCTTTATTCAGCAACAGTCTGTGTTACAAGAACTCTGCATTTCTGGGCATCTATTTTGGGCAGTATTTATGAAATAGCACAGTCACATCCCACCTCTGAGCTGACAGCCTCACACAGCGTGTTAAAAAATGCATTTAGCTGGAGAAAATGTCAACCTTGTTTTTAATATGATATATTCTAAGTGTCAGGATAGATACATAGGAAAACCATTGCCACTCTTTGCTACAGCCTCAGACCATGGTTATGAACTTTAGCTCCATGAAAACAATGCTAATCACTACAATGGAAACTCCAGTTCAGCTGCCAAAACACACAGACCAGACAGCATTTGTCCTTTGGGACTTGCAGCTACACCTCAAAAAAGTCATTCAGGTTTCAGTTATCAGCACTGACTACTGAACTTCTAAAAACCTTTCTGTTCAGTCAACAGACCAACTGGTGTGTGCACATCGACACGGGCAGTCTCAATTCTTTTGCCTTTATTTCCTATTTCTATCTGTAATGGGTTAACTCTCTCCAAAGAACTTGTTTCCTTAGGGAGCAATTCAAAAGCATCAGACCTATCTCACCTTTTGAGAATACTCAGATAGATTGACACAAAACTAAACAATGGAATGAGCACCTCTCCTGGAACCATAAATCTGAAGGGAAAAGAATAAGGGTGAACTCAAATCTCTTGTTAGCACTCATCGTTTCCATACATAAAATTTAACAGCCAAATTCTCATTTTGAAATTCAGCCATTAGAGTGTATTTCAGCATCAGTTTTAAAGTTTTCTTACTTTCACAAGGCAATGCCGAGCTGGAGAACTCACGTAAAACATTCTTCATCCACAGAAGTGCAAATAGAATGCTATCTGCTTAAAATAACACGCCATTTTTTTTTCAGGAACAGAGATGAAAAATAACCCCTCACTCGTTACTTGTTTTGAAAAGATGTTAATAGCTTCACATCACTTACTGCAGCTGGTAAGAAGTCACATTATGTTCACCACCTTCTTGTAATGAAAGTTATTACTCTGCTTTGCAGAGACTGCCAGGGAATTTGTTGCTTTACATTTTAACAAGAGTGTAAGTGAGCTGGCACGCATTATGCATAGTAGCTCGAGAGCAAGTGGTATCTTGAGGCTGACAGTTATGATGATAAAGAAAATTATTGAGGTATTTTCATGTTTTGACAGCATGATTTTGATCTGTGGTATATAGAATATGGTTGCAGACATCCACCCTTTCCAGCTCTGGGCTTGCTAGAGACAAATAATCTCTCAGCAGCCCAGGGAGGGGGCACGGGGAGGAAGGGAGAGAACAAAACAGGCCTTGTGCTGCAAAACCAGAGTAGCTGCTAGTTCTCCACCAGCATGCTGATCCCTTGCCCTCCATCCTCCCAGCAATGCTGCAGAGAGCAGAGAATGCTAAAGGGGGGAACACGAAAACAAGGAAGAATGTGCTACAGAGCACTCGGTGCGCTCTCAAAGCAAACAAACAGGAGACACACTACGTGATAGCTGGGATTTATGGCACGTAATGGGAGGGCAATTCATTCTATCCAACACTTCTCTGTGCAAAATACTGAGAAAAACATGTTAATAATATATATACTGTCATCAGCCAGAGTTACAAGGCACTGCTGTAAATTTCCAACTGTTTTCTCAACTGTGATGTGCTGAAGGTTATCATGATATATATCGTTGGGTGAGAGTTATCTGCTGAAAACCACTGTTAGTTGTAGCGAGACTGATGGGAGAAATGAAATATTGCAGTAATAAATAACAGAAGCAATAGATGATCTATAAAGGAGAAAAGCCATTGTGGAGCCCCAGTCACCCACGCATCCTTTAGGCGCATGTCCGAAGAGCTTCACTACCACAAACATTGCAAAGTGCAGTGGCAAAAACATCAAGTCAAAAGTCACAGACTTCATAATTTGGAGTTATCAGGAAAGTCCAACAGATACTTTAAACAAAATACATCCTTTTTATACTCCCACTGCTGGGAGGGAAACAGATGAGCTCTTCCAGAAAGACATGAATATTGCTACCACACTAGCTATTTATTCAAGTAAAACGAATTAAGCTGCAAACCTAAAGGGCAAAGGGAATTCATTTCTAAGAGACAAACTGAACTGTCAGTTATTTGCTATAGAGAAATTAGTGAGGTTTTTCCAAGTCATCTTTGACTTGTTTTTCAATAGTCAAGGGTATTCTCCCAATTTTAATGATGAATTCATGAAACTTTAACTACTGTAAAAACAATGTATGAGCTTCCTGTTTAAACAAACTTTAAAGCTGTGGCTCCACTGTTATGACATTATTAGCTCCCAACAACAACAGCTATACATATTCTTGCCTCCATCATTTGTTTCTAGTAGTGTTTCTTCCCAAGGAAGCAGTAGAAGCAGCCTGGTTGGCCACAACAGGGAAATAACTGGTGTCCACTCAATATTTGTTGTTAGGCTTTGAGTAAGAATTCATTGTGAACTGGACTAAGGAGTTGCAACGTAAGTATAACAGGCATGAAAATCACTCTCTGCCATTACCCTCAGAGCACACTGGAGAACTTCAAGGGCCTCTACAGCAGCTTGGAGCACTGCGTAATTTTATGTTGCTGTTTCACATACTTTGCATTTCCAGTGAGGCCACAGAATTTCCCCAAGGGGCCCATATTACTGCCTGCCTTGTGTCTTCTGCACGACACCGAGCAATGAATGAATTTGGCACATGGCACGCATTAGTTCAGTCTAAGATTAAATACAGCAATTACATTAAACGGAAATAGGGCACTACTTCAAAATAGACAAATCACTTAAATACCAACTACATTTGTTATTTAAATAAGCATTACTGTTTAAATAAATTTACTAGGAATAGATTAAACTCAGGAACAGGAAATATTTCCAGAGCAAGAAGAGCAGCAATTAAGAAACAGGATTTAGTAAAACTTGTCTTTCTCCTTTTCTGAATAGGATTATAACCCACAAGGAAGTAATAATGGAGATCCCTTTCAAGGCTGTAGATTCTAAACCAAACCCAAATCAGAAGGAGCCCTACCTTTGACTGCTATGAGCATACTGAATCCACAGGGAATTCTGTTAGAATTCCATTTCTCTAACTTTTCCAACATATATAATTTATAACATG